CTGCAAAATTCTACTTCTCTATTAAGGGCAGAAGGTGAACCATATCAAACATATAAAAAACTAAGAACCAGGAGTCTGATATTAGAGACGTGTTTTCCAGCTGGAACAGAATCCCTTAGTAAAAATCAAGTCAGCACTCGCTGCCTATAGACGTTCACGTGTTTCACTCTCAAAGACTGCCAAAATGGAACTATATAATGAATCTTGCTGGTCCTAACCAGCCATGCTGTTTATGCATCATTAAAATTAAACTTCCACTTCTGCCAACAAATTACATTTCCTATATATTCTCATAATTAGCACTTCAGCAGCTTCTGCTATTCAGAGACACTCTCGCATCCTTGCATTCAAGGCTGTTTGAAAATGTTTCGAGCCAGTTCTGTCCTCGTCAGACATGATTTCTGCTCTTCATCAAACAGGCATTCTCCTTTGATGGAAAATGTGGTTCCAAAGGGGTGAGCGAACCAGCTGTGGTTTGGAAAAGAGCAACTTCTGTTTTCCAAATGCTGCGTGGCCCCCTGTCCCTTCAGCCCACCCACCCTTGCCAGGGATCTCGCTTTCTTGAATCTGAAGCTCTCTGTCTTGCCAATCAAACTACTGGGGGGTTGATTCAAATGCAATGTTTACTTCCCCTCTAAATTATAATTCTGTTGAAAGAGTAAGAAGTGTGTGAGAGCTTTCCTTTGTGGTTGGAGCTTTCAGATCACTTGGTGGGAAATCTTACCAGATTCCCAGTTCATTGGTGCTTCATAAACCTTGATTTCCCATTCGAACCAGACATCAGGTGAACACGAGTCATTGATACCTGATCCATTTGTTTATTTACGGTCAGGCTTCTTTAAAGATACTAAGATGGGTAAAACAATATTTGCTACATCAGCTTTAGGAGACTAGGGTGAGCTGCAATCCTAATCATGTCTACTCAGAAGTAAATCCCATTAAATTAAATGGGCATCAACATGGATTGCAGCCTGAATGGATATCAAGCGTGAGGGATGAGAATACCCTTTCATCCTCTACCATTGGGAGGCTTCCTTTTGGCCCTCCACCTTCATGATTTTGCTGTTTTGCTTGCTGATGGATTTATGGCATTTTATTGTACTCCATTGCATATTTTATTTTAATATGCTGCCTGCCAGTTTGCAGACATTTGGGCTAAAATGTGGTATAGAAATAAATTGTAATAATAAAATAATAATAAAATTAATTGTGTGCAAATGTAGGCTTCTGTCCCACTCCTTGTTACTCACTCATAAATGTTCCTGACATAAACAGGACTCTAACAAATAGCACTTGTATATTGTTAATTAACAAGACCTGTCCCATTAGGAAAAAATATTGCCATTTAAGATAATCTTATATAGATTATTCTGGGCTATTTAGGTTCATCCTCAGCCTATGTCCATGAAAGGTCTACTCCAAATCAATGTGACTTTTGTTTAAGAAATGCATTTCCAGCATGAGGAACAGATACAGGGGAAACTCTTCTCATTGTTAAATTGCTTGAACAGATTGTATGTACATGTACTCTGTTGTTGTTCTTTTAATTATAGGAGACTTAATCAACTTTCTGGGATTCTGGATGAATTGTGCACCATATTAACAGTTTATGTTAGCAAGGGCCATAATAATTTATATTAAATAATAGGTGTTCATTCTAATTTTTCTTTTTTCCCACCCATTTTCCATATTACATTTGCAAGGGTAGATACAAAATGTATGGGGCACAATCCAGCTGAAGTCCCACATGCAAGTGCCATAATTTTAGTAAGAGAAGCAGGGACATGCTTAAATGAGGCCTGTTGGTTTGCAACAGGAAATAAAAGTGCTGAACTGAATGGCACCCACCTGTAAAACGAATGTGATTGGTCAACATTTTGTGTTTCTTACCAAACCCTTGAAACAGGTATGTAGGCTAGGGAGATGGGGTTCTTGCCCCCGCTTGATATCTGACATGTGTCCCTGGAAATTGTAATACATGAAGTGACCTGCTAAAGGCACCTCCAGTCTTAGCATCACTTCCCCCCCCCCAAAAAAAGTTAGGTTTTTCCACACAAGTTTAAATCAGTTTTGCATTTCCTGTGCCTGCAATGCACATGCAACTGGCAGTGATAACATCAATCCAAAACACCCTTCCTTTGATATCTGTTCCATTGCAACCTGCATCAGACTATAAGACATTCATACTGTTTATTTGGCTTGAATCTGCTTGTTCTTATATGGGGCTGCCTGCAGTGCACATGTACTTGAGAGACAGTGTGGTGTAGTGGTTAGAGTGTTTGACTAGGACTTGGGATCTTGTGGACCAGGGTTCAGATTCCCACTCTAACATGAGCGTTTTTACCTTGTTGCCAGCCCCCCTGTCTTGGGCTAACCTACCTCGCAAGGTTGTATGGAGGAGAAAAGAGGAAAGGTGAGATATCATCATCATCATCATCATCACCCTCCCAACGAACAGGGGATTAATCACTTAGTAGTCATGCAGAGGCCAGTGGGGGCTGGCTGTCAGGGAAATATAAATTCTACTTTGAGTAGCGCGTGGTATTTGATTTCTCCTCCACATTAACAACATCTCAGACATGGCACAAACAAGGAGCACCTCAAAGTAGTTTCTTTCGTGTTGCGGTTGGGAAACGGTCTGCCTTAGTGATACCTGAGGCATTGCGTTTGCTTTATATGAGCATCACAAACCCGACAGAGAGCATCAGGTCCACATCCAGCCTCGCTCCACCAGCGGTTCCTTCTTAAAATCGAAATACAGCGTCTCGACGCTCATCGCGAGTGGGAGGGTGGGGGACGCAAAGACCCGAAAGCTGCAATCCTGTGCACACAGACCTGGAAGTCAATCCGCTTGAACACAGCGGGACTCACTTCCTAGTAAATACGTCAAGGATCGCGGAGTAAAACGTTGCGCACAGGATGTCCCAGGTTCAGCCTCCGTCATTTTCAGGTAGGGCAGGAGGGGGACCTCCTGGCCTCCTGAACCCTGGAGATCCGCTGTCACTCATTGTAGACAATACTGAGCCGGGTGGACCGTGGCCTGACTCAGTACTTGGGCAGATCCCTATGCTCCTGTGAAGACAAGGGGTCCCACAGAGTCCGCCTGCCTGCCACAAGGAGCGCCTCTCCATAGCACAATGACTGAATGCCGATCCCTTGTGGGTGTGTCCATTTGCATGCAAGTAAAACCCGCGCAATACAAGGGGATTTGCTCCGGGGTAAGCAGCTGGGCAGTGTTTGTGGTGGGGTAATTTGTTTATTTTTCTTGTTTTTATTATGCATTTTGCGGTGGGGGGGTTTTCCCTATTGTACGTTGTGAACCGCCCTGAGATCTACGGATGAAGGGGGGTATACAAATTTAATAAATAATAATAGGTGTAATAATTGCGTAATGCATCGTCCTATGATTGCCTTGAGGAAGGTTTTAAGACTCGGGATTGCTGCTGCCTTGTTAACAACGGGAGAAAATAAAGCACTGTTCCTTCCCTGCGCCCAGGCTGTCTGGTCTAGGGGGTTCCATCAAGGAAAGGGCCCCGGCGCTTGTGCACGGAAGTCAAGGGGATCACTTCAGGACCGAGACCCAACCTCTCCAACGGCCAAGCGCTGGTCTGCTTTGGAACCAGATTCTTTAGGATATGGATTTACTGATTGCATTTATAGCCCACCTTTATTTCCCCCATGAGCTCAATGTAGTACACGTAGTTCTCCTCCTGATTTAACCACCCAGCAACCCTGTGAGGTAGGTTAGGCTGAGACTGAGTGGCAGAGGAACGAGGAATGAGGCTGCAAGGTTTAAGTGGGGCTCGCTCCCAGGTGAGGGCGCCGAGGGACAGCTGTCTAAGGAGGAAAATGAAGGGGCTCCTTTTAAAAATGTAGGAACAACTGCGCGCTATACCCGATGACTAGCATGCTTTAGTCACCAGGGAGCAGTTAAGAAGGAAGGGGTGTCTCCATTACCAAATGTTATAATCACTCTTTTAACTTTCCTTCATAAGCTAGTTGGGTCCTCGCCATTTTGTAGCCCTATAAATCGAGATTATGTTACCTTGTGATGCAGTGGATACAGTGGTGCCTCGGATTACATACGCTTCAGGTTACATACGCTTCGGGTTACAGACTCCGCTAACCCAGAAATAGTACCTCAGGTTAAGAACTTTGCTTCAGGATGAGAACAGAAATTGCGCGGCAGCAGCGGGAGGCCCCATTAGCTAAAGTGGTGCTTCAGGTTAAGAACAGTTTCAGGTTAAGAACAGACCTCCGGAATGAATTAAGTACTTAACCCGAGGTACCACTGTATTTTGGAGTCCCCAAAAATGTGTGCACGTGCACGCATGCACATTCACACACACACGATCAGACATTTTAAAGTACAGTAGCTAGATTTTACACGCTCCGTATAGACATGCTTATACAGTAGAGACAATCCTGTAAAACAGGCTTCCTCCACCTCGGCCCTCCAGATGTTTTCAGACTATAAGTCCCATCATCCCTGACCACTGGTCCTGCTAGCTAGGGATCATGGGAGTTGTAGGCCAAAAACATCTGGAGGGCCGAGGTTGAGGGAGCATGCTGTAAAACTTCTGGTTTCGATGCAGCTTGATCCAAGTGCCAGTCCAAAGTTAAACATTTTTAAAAAACCACCACCTTCTTCCGTGAGGACTAAACGTGAAGAACGGGGGGAAGGACCCAGGGACGCTGCTGCGTTGGTGACAAGGCTTCAGAGCTGGAACAGGGTGTAAAAGTTGCAAAATGTTGCCGAGTGTTTCAGGCCATGTTTTTGGGAACAGTTGCGGCTCAGTGAGCGGGACTTGGTTTCGGAATTACAGCTCAGCCATCGGACGCACTGGGGGGAGGAATGCCCCATAGCATGCAAAAAGTGTTTTTCCATCCATATGGAAGGAATGCCTGATCTCCCTTTCCTCCTCACCCCCAACTGGGCCGCTGCTTTCGAGCGGGGAGAGGGGAGCTCTCCAGACGCCGTGCTTTGCTAGACCTTTTCCGTCTAGCAGCTCAACTGATTGAGCACGAGAATCTTAATCTCACGGTTGTAGGTTCGAGCCCCACGTTGGGCAAATGATTCCTGCATTGCAGGGGGTTGGACTAGATGACCCTCGGGGTCCCTTCCAACGCTACGATTCTATGAAGACCTCCATTCAGGGTCTCTCAGTTTCCCATCGAGGGTCAGCAGTCGAGCGATGCAGGAGAGGGGCGGGCTGGGAGAGGCGTTTGCTCCCCGATGAAGCAGTTGCTTTGGAGAAATCCGTAGGAAAGTCGTGCTCGGGCGGTCCGGGACTACTCGGTTCGCAGAGGATCCAGCAGAGGGCTCCGACCCGGGAGGCGACTTGAAGGCGATGGGCAGTCCCGCTTACTCGTCACGGGACCGGGGGAAGGCTTCACTCACCTCCTCCAAACATCGTCCTTAAGTCGCCTTGGCAGTGAATATCGTTCATTCCGACGGAGGAGCTCTCTGGACAGCTGCCGGTGTACATCAGGATGGTCAGTCTTCCTTTCTTTCCTTTTAAAATAGTTCCGATTTAGAAAAAAACAACAATTACGCTATTATTAATAATACTATTAATATTTTTTAAATGCATTCTCCAGAGTAAAGCGAGGAGACCTCGCCACCGGCTTCGATCGGTACTTCTAGGGTTCTCATGCAAGGAATCGCGCCCAAGAAAGGACCGAAGTGCTGTCAACGCGGAGGCTTTGGAAAAGTGACGTCGCTTCCAGGTCGAGCCTTTGGCTTGGAGCCGCATCTTCGCCGAGATGGGGTAAGACTGGGCTCCGTGTGGGGGTGCGGGAATAAAAGTATGGGAAAGGGTTGAGGTTAACTTGTCGCTTTAGCCTCTGCATATCTATGCAGAAGTAAGTTCCACTGAGCTTAGTGGCGCTTACTCCCAAGAAAACGTGCGGAGGACGGCAGCACAGATCTCTTAACATCATCGGAGATCATGCTAAAATGAAGTAGGTCTGCTTGGAGCAAATGGTCTGGGATTAAGGAGCCTCTAAATATTGGTTTGGCTTCACTGTTTTAAAAGCTTCCATTGCTCCAGGCAGCCTCGCTTCCAGTTCCGTCACTTGGTTGGGGATTTCCTCCATCTCAGGGACTTAAAGGAGGAAATGCGGAAGATCGATATTATTTCTGAGTCTGGTTATTTTCAAAAACCTACCTTTTCTTTCTTTCTTTCTTTCTTTCTTTCTTTCTTTCTTTCTTTCTTTCTTTCTTTCCATAAAGTATTTAAAAATATCTACCGTACTTTCCCCCCCTTCCCTGGTAGAGCTCCGCTGGAGAGGGATCCTTTATGCCTGCAAGTGCTTTGGGGGAGCAGGTGCTGCGAAGGCGGCACCCCCCTCTTCCCCAGGCAGACTTCCCTGGATTTAAATTCTCTCGATTTAGAGAGTGGCCACGCGCTCTGAGCGCCATTCGAGTGCCGGAAGGTGGGAAGGCTCAGGCGCGCAACTACTTTCCGTGCGTGCTGGCTTCCTGAGTTCACACAAGCGAGGAGGGCGCGCGCCTGGATCGAAGAAAACCCACCAATAAAGGCCGAGCAAACTTCTGCACGTATGTCTGACGGATCTACGCATACGCAAATCAGCTGGCAAACAGACTTTGCTCTCCGTTGCGGTGTCCAGCACCATCTTCAAGACCCGGAGCAGCTATCGCGTGCCTTCGCTCCGGAGCAAACTTCTCTTGACAGGTCTCCAGAAGCTGAGGCGCGCGTGCGCCTTCCTTTTCCAGTCGCTGACCCTCTGTCATTCAACCCTTTCCAATGACAAGCGAGATTGTCAACTAGTTGCCCCAACAGTCAAAGGCGCATCCCTTTGGCCTGCCCTCAACCATTTCCCAAGCCTTCCCCCCGCCGGCCCTCGCCTGCTTCCTCCTAGGCCCTCGGCCTAACAAATTCTCGCACGGTCTCACCACCGAAGCAGTTGCCAAAGTCCCTGGCTTTTCTGCGCGGTGATCCAACTCACATTGAACGAGGAGATCTGGGCATCCTACACACACCTTTGAAGCACAGTCGAAGCACATCCCCCCCCCCCAAAGAATTCTGGGCACTGAAGTTTCTTAAGAGCTGCTGAGAATGGCAACTGTGAGGTTTAAACCACAGTGCCCAGAATTCTATGAAAGGATGAGTTGCAAAGGGACAGTGTGCCTTCACTTAGTCCCGGGAATTCCAAGCCCAAGGCCAAGACTGAACTGCAGGAGGGCACCCACGCAGTGGCACTGAGTGCCAAGTGGGGGCTGCTGCAGACTCCATGCTAAGGTCCTCATTCCGTGCCTATTTCTTGGGGCAGGAGATGCGCCATCAATCTCAGCGGGCTGGATTTTCCAGTAAACGTCACTGTGAGCTCTAGAGTTACCTGGGGGTTAGATCCACAAATATTATTATTAAGCATTGAAAGTACTCAATTATCTGAGGTTCCGCCCCCCCCCCCCCCCAGCAGAAGTCTGCCTCCCGCAATATCTTATTCACCGGGTATTTTTACTTTGATTTCCTTAAAAAAAACTCAACAACTTTGGCTGCCCCCCCCCAACAAAAATCCTGGTTACGCTCACAGGTTAGTTATCCTGAACAAAATGGGACTTCCCTTTGAGCGAAGAGTTTTAGAAACGGGTGCCCTCCTCGCTCAACAATAGGCAACGGGGAAATAATCGCCGCAGTTGCCTCTCAATTTGGTTTGGTCCCAGTAAGTGCGCAGAGGAGAACTGGGGTCATGGTAAAAATTCTAGTTTGGATTCAGGCATTTTGAACTCAGTGGCATTTACTTCCAAGTTAACATATTTAGGGGTCGGGGTGGTCAGTCGTTTTAGGAGAACTACGCTGCTTTACCTTACCGTGCCTGACCAAGGGAAATTTGAAACAAATTTGGGTGCACATTATATTGGGTGTAGTCGTTTCTGTGCTGGCTCCGCTTTGCAGAATGTTGTCCCCCTTGGTGACGTGTGGCAGAGGCGGCTTCTTTTTTGCTTACTTGGGGGTCACTTGTTCACATGCACGCGCACGCGCACACAGACACACACGGAGTTGTTGCGCCGTTTAGGATGCCTTATGCATATTTCCGCAAGACAGAAAGAAACGAACACTGTGTGAGCCAAAGGAATGCGAACGGAACCGAGTCCAGTTTCATCTGTGAGCCATTTCCCGCAGACTCATAAACTGATCTGAAAAAAACAGATTTATTTGAAAGTTAAATCCCAGAGAATCAATAGAATTTGCTTCCCAGTAAATGGCCTAAGCTAAGCGCAATACTCGAAACTATACTCTCCATTGAATCTACGCAGTCTCAATCATATTTTAAGACTGAAAGTTTTCAGAGATATTGGGGAGATTCCAATATATATGTATCCGCGCTCACTTGGGAAGCAAGTTATCCCTGTTTTTTCCCGTCCAACCAAATAAACAAACTCAACATAACTTTGAGAAATGATAAAAGAATTGGTAAGTCCATGGAGATGTCAGGCAAAACTCCAATATTTTTAACTGAAAAACAACAAAAATATAGTCTGCGAACCGCCGCGTTTATAGTTCATAATAATAATAATAAAATAAATTTATGCATCAGTAAAGCCCTTGTCTACCGTCTCTGGACAGCCCAGAGGTATTATGAGACGTTGGGGCTGGATAAATTATTTCGAAAAGTGAGTTATTCAGGAACATGGCCTACATTTTTATAGCGTAAACCAAAGCATTCACACGTCGATTGGACAGTACCGAAGCACGCTTGCCTCTGAAACCGACAGTAGGGGTAAACCACAACCCAGTCAAAATAAAAACAGCCCCTTTAAATGCACTGGGAAGAGGGGATGAGCTTCAGGGACAGCAGTCTGATGCGCATTTCAATTAAGACTGCAGTCCTATCTCCACTTACCTGGGAGCAAGCCGCCCTGAACTCACAAGGCATTGCTTATGAGTAAGCACGCATAGGATTAAACTGCAAACGATATTCGTTTGTTCCCGCGCGGGGATAGCTAACCTGATCGAGCGCCACTGATTCTGCCGGGCAGCGAACCGCGGCCGAGGAGTGGCATCATAAAGCCTACTTTCTCCTGAGTAGCCTCAGAGTGTTCCCCCAAACCTCATGGAAACCCCTCGGAGGCTACTTCGGAGTAAGATTTCCCCGCCTCTTCTCTACACGTCGTTTACTCAAAAGTACTTCTAACGGGACTTGCTTCTTAGTAAACATGCAGAGGACGGACAAAACCCGACGTTGCTTAAAGGAGCACGAGCGCCTCCCTAAGCTCGGAGCTGCGGGGATTTGGAAAGCCCAGCTCCCGGCACGTTGGATCGTGTCTCTCTCCCCTCCTCCACTTCCTAACCCACCACCCACCCCCTATTTATTTGACACATACCAAGAGGGAGGATCAAAATGCCCCCGCCCTTAAGCCCCGACGAGGGTTCCAGCCTCCTCCCGGCCCGTCGAGGAAGAGAGGCCAAAGCGAGCGCAGGCTGTGCGCACTGTCCTCCCCGGTGGGGCGGGGCTGCCGTCTCCGGGACTCCCGCGGGTCCCTCGGCTGAGGGGTCCGCGGGAGGCTCCGGCGCACAATGCCTGCGAAGCGGGGTCCTTGCTAAACGGGGCCGTCCAAGCTGAAGAATGGCGCGTCATCCCGAACAAGCCCCTTCGAGGCAGGAGGGCGCCTTTTGTCTCTCTGGCTCGCCCGCGGCTCTATAAAAAGCCCCTCGGCTGGCGAGGCAGCCTTAGAGCGAGCTCAGGCGCGCAGCCGCACGCACACGAAGCCAGCAGCTCTCCTGGAGAGGGAGGGGAGAGAGAGAGGCGGGGAAGGGGGATCTCCTTCTCTGTCTCGACCACTTTCATTCTCGTTGGCAGAAGAGCTTGGTGGCCCTCCTGCCTGCCTGCTTGCCATTCCTCCTCCTCCTCCTCCTTCCACTCGAGCGGGGAAGCCCCTTCTTGCACCTTCCCGGCCCCTGCAGCCAGACCATGAATTCTGACTCCAGCTCTCTCTCCAGCAGAGCCTCCTCGCCAGACATGGAGGAGATGTACCTGCGGGACCATCACCATCACCACCATCACCACCACCATTCAGTCTCGTCGACGCAGAGCGAGGTGGGCCAGCGCGGGCCGGGCGAGGGCCTCTCTCGGGCCGGCTCCAAGGGCTCGTCGAGCGAAAGCAGCAAGTACAAGATCAAGAAGCAGCTGTCGGAGCAGGACCTGCAGCAGCTGCGGCTGAAGATCAACGGGCGCGAGCGCAAGCGGATGCACGACCTCAACCTGGCCATGGACGGGCTCCGCGAGGTGATGCCCTACGCGCACGGGCCGTCGGTGCGCAAGCTCTCCAAGATCGCCACGCTGCTGCTGGCGCGCAACTACATCCTGATGCTCACCAGCTCCCTGGAGGAGATGAAGCGACTGGTGGGCGAGATCTACGGCGGCCACCATTCGGCCTTCCACTGCGGGACGGTGGCGCACTCCGCCGGGCACCCGGCCCACCCGCCGGGCGCCGTGCACCCTGTGCACCCCATCCTGGGCGGCGCCTTGTCCTCGGGGGGCAACCCGTCTCCGCTCTCGGCTTCCCTGCCGGCCATCGGCGCCATCCGGCCGCCGCACTCGCTGCTCAAGACCCCCCCGGCGCCGCCGGCCCTGCAGCTGGGAGGGGGCTTCCAGCACTGGGCCGGCTTGCCTTGTCCCTGCAGCATCTGCCAGATGCCCCCGCCGCCGCACCTCTCGGCTCTCACCACGACGGCCAGCCTGGCCCGGATCTCCACAGAAGCCAAGGACCTGCTGAAGTGAACTCGCCGCCGCCTCTCAGAGGGGGCCTTGGCCAAGTCTCTCGCCCGCCCGCGGGAGGGTCTAGCGAAGACCACCGCCCGCCCCCTCGGAAAAAAAAACCCTCTCGCTGCCCGGGAAGCCACGGGGGGGGGGGGGGGCAAGCCGGAAGGATTCGAGAAGGTGAAGCAGCCCAGAGGTCCCGCGGTGTCGTCGCATGCTTGATTCTCCTCCTCCAACTCCTGTTTTCCCTTCTCTCTCTCTCGCTCTCTCTTTCTCTCTCTCTTCCTCCCTCGTCCCGTCTGATGTTGTCTCCAAACTTCATTTGCTGTAACCAGGGGGACGTGTGTGTGTGTGTTTAGGGGCAAAGGACCTTGCAAGGTAACCTTTTTGGTTGGATTCTGGGTGTTTTGTTTTTCCTGTGATTTCTTTTTCTTTTAAAATCCCTGTCAATTCAGGAAATAGGGAGAGGGGAGGGAACGAGAATGTAAATAAGTGCTTGATAACGGATGGGGGGCGGGAGAAGAGATGGCTCTCTCTCTCTCTCTCTTTCTCTCTCTTCATTGTACTTGTTCACAGCCGCAGAAGCGGTCGCTTACTTGGTTGGATTGCGGTTCGCAACGATTTCGCCGTATAGGAAAGCGTGGAAGGGTCATTCCTGGAGCTGAAGAGTGTGCGGGCTGATTTGGAAGTAAGCTCGTTTTAAAAACCAGTGGCCAGGATCCTAGTGAAGTTTGCAATCCTGTGCAAACTTCATCAGGACTTCTCGGTCAAGCCGTGCAAGTCAGTGCAACTACAAGAGTGAGACAAAGTAAGAGGACTTACTTTGGATTAAGTCCCGTTCAAACCAGCGGGGCTTCCTCCCGAGAAAAGAGGGGTGAATCCTTTATTTAAGGGTGGGGGGTGCGTGGGGTTTATATCCACTGACGCTTATTTCCAATGTCTTCTGGGCTAGGGGAGTTTAGACGACGAACGGTCCGATCCACAAACCAAGGCCTTTTATACTGGGAACATAAACCTTTTGAAAACCCAGGGACGCTAATTGGCTAAACTCAGCAAACTGGCTTGGGTTCGGCTTTTGAATCGGACTGCACGCGACTTTTTCTTTTTTTAAGTTACGCTGGGGCAGGTACAGGAACCCTTTTAATTTTCCGACGGGGCGTCCGTTCCTCTCAAGCGACTGCATGCGTGCTTCGAGCCTACGTTGTTCTTATTCGTATCCAGACCATGGTTGTTCGGACGGCACCAAGGCAGTTTTCCTTGTAACAAGGATTTAGGAGTGCAGTCTCGACGGGCCAGCCCAGGATGTTCTTCCCTCTAGACAACACAGCTTGCTGCCTCCCCGCTTTGCCCTGGAGCCGTCCAGCCTCCCCGCACTAGGTTAGAGACAACTCTTCCACGCCGGATCCGCCGCGTCCAGCTTCCCCGGCCTCCCATCCTTCAGTCAGTCCCATCCTGCATGCGGGCTCGGCGTCCCCCTGACTCTCCCTCGGAACTTCCCCGCTCTCTCGCTCTCTCTCTCTTTCCCTTTCTGGGCGCTTGCTTGACACTATTTTGTGAAGGGCCTCACAGACGATGACGTGTCTTTATTTTTTATATATTCTTGAGAACTATCGATATATTTATTATTATGGACCAGTGTTTCTGGATGAAAATTTCAAATTAAAAACGGTGAAATGATAATTCAAAAAAAGATTTGGGTTTCTTCTTTTTGGTTCTACCTCCTTCTTCGTCTGAGGGGAGGTAAACGAGAGCTGGTTTAGAGTGGGACTTGTTTCAAAACCAATGAAAAGCTGCTTTGAAGGGGTAAAGCCTTGCAAGGTGAGGGAGACTTAAATGCGCTGTACGGAATTGAAATCTGAGTAAAACTGTATTCATGTATTTTTTGCAAACTATTTGGGAGAATGCCGTAGTAACTTGGTGGGTATTAAATCGGAGAAAGCGGGGGTAGAATCCGATTGCGAATATGCTTTATGCCTAGGACGCACTTACTTAGAAGCAAGTCCCATTGTATTGTTGTTGTTGTTATTATTATTATTATTATTATTATTATTACATTTCTATCTCATCTTTCCTCCAGCGAGTTCAGGACAATATACATGGTGAAATCAGTGGGGTATTTGCGAATAGGTGTGAGGAGCATCCAAAATAAATAAATATATATATATATTTAAAACCCTCCAGATAGAATTTTGGATTTAAAAGTACATTTAGGAGAATTTCCCGATTTAACTTCCGGTTTAACAGGTCCAACTTCCCACTCTAACCTCCCCTATTTTGTGCACCAAATGACATGGAACATAGGTTGGTTTTTCTTTTGAAACAGGACTGAAATCTCCATGAATTCCTAATACGCATAAAATGACTGCAACACTCACAACAATAGCCAGACTTGGTAAAAACAAACGCCGGCAAGCAAAGGGGAAGAATAAATCAGAGCTCTTTGTGCCCAAAAGAAAGTGTGGCGACGAAACCCCGAAGTGAGGGGCTCGTTGATTCAAAGCCGTCGTTTGCCAAACTGAGAAGTCGAACTCGATTTCCTCCCGACTCCCACAGCAACCTAATATATATATATCTATAAATCTTAAAACTAGTTATTTATTCTTAAATGAAACCAAACGAGATGTTAGTTAGTCCTCCCCTGCAGTCTTAAGGGGCTGTTCTCAGAAGATCAAACGAGAGAAATGAATCCGTTCGATTTAAGTAACTCTAAATTCAATACGATTCAGTGGTGCCTTGACATTTTTCATTGCCACACTGATTATGTTTTTATTTATTTATTCATTCATACATACATACATACATACATACGAGATGAAGTTTATTCCGCTGGCCACGGAAGGCTGAGAATGAAGACATTGGAAATGGCCTCTGAACTTAATTCACTTGATTGGTTCCCGTCACCAGCCAATGCCCATCTGTCCTGCGCCTGGACCTCCCGCTACTGGACCAAAACTCTCCTTTGATTTGCCTTGCGTCATTCTGCGGAGAACTTCGTCTGGGCTTCTGCTTGTGTTTGCGATGGGTGGGGGTGTGTGTGTTTTATTTTTTTACTTTGAATTCACGTCTGACTTTGCTGTGGTTAAAAGAAAAACACAACAACGTACAACACTTGAGAGGGACGTGCAATTCAGACACCTCTTCCTCTCTGGGATAGTTTAAAAGTCGTTGGGGGGGGGTTATATTCCAGAGTAAGTGGTGCCAGATTGATAGCTAGAAATATATATACATTAATGCTATAATTCAAAGTACTGTAATAGGAGAACCCTTCCGAGGTTTTCAAAGCAAGGCTGCAGTTGGTAAAATTGGTCGGTTTGGGGTTTTTTTTTACTAGCTTTAAAGGGAAGGAGGCGTATGTTAGGGGGCTGGTGATCATTTTCCCGTTGATGCATTGCCCTCAGCGACAAGGAAAGCGAGAGACATAATTCAGCGAGAGATGCGATGTACCAAATTCATCGCTTTAGAAAAAACAATATAAATAACAAGGGAGTGACGTGAGTGAAAGGGTTGTTTTTGAAAAGAGAGAAATAAATGAGGGGAATGAGTAGGGGAGAAATGAGTAGGACTAAATAATTTGATAACGACTGTCATTGGAGAAATAAAACATTATCTTCACCCATCATTTGCAGCTTTCCAAGGGAAATCCATTTGTTTATTAAAAGGCAAATGTTTTATACCTACCATAGGTGCCAAGTCCCTGGGGTCCTGGGTGCTTGAGCACCCACAAAATTACCCATGAAGGGGCCGGGCACCCACAAACTTAGGTGCCAGGGCCATGCACGCTGCATGGCACCACGGCCTCGGGCACCCATGGTCGTGGGACCAAGCTGGCACTCCTGATACCCAATTACCTAGAAGCATGGAGTTTATTGTTGATTAGGAGCTGACAACATCTCACGCAGGCAGAGTTAAGAAGTTTTAATTTCCATTGCATCCAATAATAGAGATTTAGGCATTTAAAAAAAACAATTTCCCCGCTGCAATCAGTGAAACGAAAGTGCTTAACTTGGGCTGTGGTGTGTTCAAATAATATTCTCCACCCTCTCATCTCAAGGCTGCCCCTCTCACAACGCCCACCCCCCTCTCAAAACGAGGATGTTGTTGAGTCAACTTTGCATTGTATAAAAACATTATGTTCTGGTCTTTTCCTCCCTCACCCTCCATGTAAAAAAAGCACATTTTCCTTAGCCAAAAAACATGCGCCGATTTGTGAGTTTTTCAATGAATAAGCTTTCTTGTGAAGGGAGCGGGTTCCCACCCATGTCTCCAAGGCGGGATGTAAATTAATTAAATAACTAAATAAGGGTAGCAGAAGGCGGAAAAGTGTGAATGAAGACTCTTCTTCCGCTCACTCGCTTGCAATAACTGTTAAATCGAGGTGAAAATATCAAAGCCCACCCCCATCCGCGTCTGTCTCCGACACATACACGAGCGTACACACGAGTCCCAGACCTTTTCTGCCTCTGAATTTGATGCCGTGACCCAAAGGGACTATTGATTTGGTGATGGTGGAAGAGGGCCCAGCCCAAATGCTCAGGCGTGAGCTCCACCTGCGTGTGGACGGTGTGTGCGTGCGTGCTGGAGATGCGTGTAACAATCCTGCAAATCAGGATGGAGTCTGACAGAGAGAAGCCTCCTGCCCGCAGCCAAGCCTGGAGATGAGCGGATCCGGGAGCTGAGGGCGATTGGAAAACTCCTGAGGTGGACGAGGAGCTCAGCTCCAGAATGTCCCTCCACATTGACTTGCACCACACACACAACTTTTTTGAGTTTTGGAATATGCGACGAAAAATAAAAATATCCTTCTGGGGGTTTGGGTACCTTTCCTTTCATCTTACTTCCACCCATCCATCACCATCGCTGTGCCTGCTAATTCCTAAGATTTTAAGGCAAAGGCTCGATTCTGGCTCCTTTGCTTCTTCTTTTTTTTGGAAATCAAATGCAGTAAAGAAGCCAAAGTGGGATGCTCGTAGTTGATCAGCCGTGCTTTGTTCGGAACTGAACCGTAGGAAAGTCGTCAAGCT